AACATTGAAGGGGCAAACAACATTAAAGGGCAAAGACAGAAAACTGATAACTACCCAACAAAGCTAATATACTACATGCACTATGTATCAGATCAGCAATTCTCAGTAACAGCTAATTGAAACATGACCATGAGGTAAAACGTCTCTCCTATCAGGAGATGGCCAAAAGAAAATAGAATTAAAACAACAAACTAATATCCTAAGTCTGACGAGGTACAGAAGGCTACCAGCTAAATGTGTCTGCTTCTGGAAAAGAGGGAGACTCACCAGCTCTTTTCTGTGGAGCCTGAGCCCACGGGAGGACAGTGAAGTGAGCTCTGTAAGCACCCAATTAGCAAAGTGAGTGATGAATAAAGAGACGTGAGCTTTGATACCAGACATGATACTACTATTCATTTATCCTGTAAAGTATGACTTCACGTTCAGTGATCAATATTTTGGCGTCCTCAGGGATTGAGATTATAGGAAAATGCACAGCCCGGGCCCAGACCTCCACTATGAGCTCGTGACACTGCACTTAGATTTCTCAAAGGCACCTCCAACTCCACCTGCAAAGAGCTGACTTCACGGTGCTCCTCCCATAGTCGTCCTGCCCAGGGCACCTGCGCAGGGATAAGGTCTCCCTGCGTCTCCCAGCTCAGGCCCATCACTCACAGATGTGAATGGACCCCTCCTTCAGGGCCGAGATATCCTCAGTCACCGAGTCCCACCACCCTCACCTGACCTACCAGGTACTCACTGGCACTCACTCAGCACTGACTCTGTGCTGGAGACCACGCTGCACACTGTGCACACGTTATCTCACTGGATCTCCACAGCAGTCCTGGGAAGTCGGTACATCACTGCTTCAATTGATTAGATAAATTGTTCCACTTCCTTGAGTGCGTGATCCAAAGTGACACGGCTACTGAGCCACAAGCCTGGGACTGAAAACCACTTGAAAATTGAACACTGCTACACCTTGCAGCCATCCTACTCTGACTCATCACATCACCTCCTGCCGAGCCTTCTAAATGTTTCCAAGCATTCTGCAAGACAGAAGTGATCTACGAGAGCACCCCACTCCCCTACTTAAAATCTGTCAATGACGGTCCACTGCCCTTTGGAGAAAGCCCCACCGGGCCTGAGCACAGCCCAATGGCCCGGCATCCGCGTTCCCTGCGCGGCCGCGCCGCCTCACCCACCACGCAGCTCTACACGTGCTGTGTCCAGGACAGGG